CAACACGATGGTTTTGTGTCTGTGTAGTATGTTAAATGTTTTTTATACAAATATGTTCAATTTATTCATCAATAACATGTGTACATTCATAAAATATTTAATTAGTGCAGTTCGTACGTTTTTGGGTGTGTGTGTGCTTTTTAGTACAATGGATATGCAGTCATTAATTAAATTATGTAAATTTTAAATCTCATGTATGCATACAAAAAAATACATAAATTTATAGAAAGTACATGTATTTGTTTAATACTTACTGTATTAGGTACATACAAGCAACATTATACATTATGGTGCTCAACTTTAATAATTAATCAAAAAGTAAATTTTGGGTTTTTTGTTGCAAGGAAAAGTGCTAATATATGCAATGAATAACAGTCACAATTCGTTCTTTTTTTTTAATTCTCAAGCTATTTTAAGTTTTTTATGTATGTAATTGTATTTTTTTTCAGATGCAAATAATATCACAAAGGAATCACAATAAACTATTTTTGTAAAAAAATTGCAAAACAAATGACTCGCATTGTTTGTACTCCAACTGTAGTAACACCAATATATACTCGAACTGTCGAACAGTAAACAAACCTCCAATTCGAACAGTAAAAAAAACCTCAAATTTCGAATTTATACAAATTCCTTAGTATGGAGAACTTTAATTTTGTGTGATCATTTTAAGTCAGATACGCATTTAATATGCCAGTAATAAATTCAGAGTCACTTCAATGATAAAAGCTATTTCTTTTAAATTAATGAGATGAACACATAAAGAGAGTTACACAGAAGTAATCTAACTCTATAGACTCCCAGTTAGGTAAATGATCTATCAATCATTAACTTTTTACAAGTGATATCTTGTAGTCTTTTACTAGCATGAGGTTTGTGTAGTTTGGTACATGAAATGATAGAAAAGGTAGATACTAAAATAAGGTATTTGAAACTGTGTACATGAATACGTACAGAAATAAAATTTTTGGTACATAATAAATATGATATCTGAAGCCCCATACAGGTCAGGAAACCATCCTGAATCCCACAAAATCCAACAATCTAGAAAATCATGCTCTTGCACGATTTTGTAACCACATAAAATCGGGACATTCAATCTTTAGTGTAATACATTATGATTCAGTCTGCTCCAATACCACATCCATCAAAATCCTAACAAAATCCCAATGTTGCATTTAGCAAGATTGGGATTACAGTTTGTTGTAACCACACAAAGGGAACATTTAATATACACATCCCAAATAATAGTGTTCATTCCTCCACTACTGAATCCTACAAAATCCTGTCAAATCCTACAAAATCCAAATTGGACTTTGCAGGATTTGGGATAAGTTAGGGAAAACCAACATCAGTCTTGTCTTGTTGCATTCGTCCTGTGCCTTTGGTAACACTTGTTGTGTTCAATTGATACGTTAAACCCTCCGCTACTGAATCCATCAAAACTCTAGAAAATATCAGTGCTAGATTTTGCAGGATTTGGGATTAGTTAGGGGGAACTAACCTCTATCTTGGAGCTTGTTGCATCTGTTCCTGTCTCTTTGTTAAATCTTTGCCATGTTCAATTAAAATAATGTTTCACCCCTCCACAACTCTAAATCCATCAAAATCCTACAAATGGTTGGATTTTATAGGATGTGGGAACAGTTAGGAAAAACCTACCTCAAATTTGTCGGCTAGTTTCCTGTTGCATCTGTTCCTGTCTTTTCGTGAGTTCCTCGTTGCGTTCGAGAAGGGCTTTCCCTAACTCCGCGGTAGGATCAAATCTTTCTCCTTTCTGCTCCAACTGGCGTTACACGTCTCATTGTTTGGTGGACCCGATTCCGCCATCTGGCCACACAAAATCCTCAAAGAAATCCAGCGAGCCTTGGCTCGGGTCATAGTCATCGAACGAGAGGTTGTCCACGACCGATCCCTGATCCGACATGCAGGCCATGGTGTGTAGTTTTGCATAATATCCCAGAGTCGACAATTCAATCAGACCGCATGTTTCGCTCGTCCGTCCACGGGCCGTCTTATTTGTCTTATCCTAAGCCTTTCTTCTAGTTTGTCTACTTCCTTTTCTTTCTCAGTTCTTCAACAGACACGTGTTTCAAATCTGAAGTCTGGAGAAACCAGAAAGAAAAGATAATGAAGAGATCTTCAGTTGCAGAGCTGGGAGGAAAATGCCGGAAAGACACTTAAAAACACACAATAACTCAGTCAGGGACCGAAACCTACATGTATATCCACACATCAGCCTGAGCAGGATGTAGCTGCACCCAACTACCAAAGCAAAATGTAGGCGGACACGATCTGTACTGATGTCTCTGTCATGTCTGACTTTAATGTTGACAATGAACTGTCTCCAAAGATGAACACCGTGAGATCTGACAAGCAAATAACAATGATAATCATAAGTATAGATCTCAACAATTTGAAGGTTAATGTGGTAAATTTAGTCTTCACAAGGAATTATTCAATGAGACTCATATGACCTAAAGAAATGACAATGGACATTTACATTACTATACTAGTAAGTAACATGCATGCATAAAAGACACAATTACTTGACTTAATAAACCATTATTTCTAACTTAATCCTACATTTAAGAGAGTAAAACTGATCCAATATTACTAAGTAGGATATTTACCTCGTGGGCCTGTAGTGGGTGTGCTAAATAATCTTAGGATGGTTGCAGAAAAAAGCGGATTAGATCATCCTCAGCGCAGCAAACTGCTGAGCACATTGTTGGAGAATCAGGCCATGTGCAAGAAGCAATGCATTATGGGAAAAGTAAAAGTGCACAATTTTCCTCAAAGTCACTATAGTCTACAACAAAAACTAAATTACAATCAAACTAAAGTATCACAATATCAAAAAGGACCTCTCACTTAATGTTTGGACTGTTTACATGTAGAAAACTTTGATCACATGACCAAACAAACATGGCTGCCTCCTTAAGAATGCACATGTAGTTGAACAATAACAAAGATGGCTGTGCACATAAACAACCAGTGTGTGCAGCAAGTATAGGCCAGTTCACCAAACACATACAATGTCTTATCTACATGTACAATGGAATGAAACTTCCTTCAACAGCATATTGTGGCTAGCATAATTCTAGGCTCTATAAACAAGTAAATGTAAGTAATTAGAGGGGAAAAGTGTCAATAAAAAATGGAAACTTTGTCAGATTCTGTTACACTCCCACCAAATTACCACTGATCTATGTAACTACATGCAAGATACTACAACTACACAAATTAGCAATTAGAAACAACAATTGTAGTATATCATGGTAATTTCAAAACTACTTTCGACTACAAACTAACAGAACAGTTTTGGTTAACATACAAAGTCCTTATATTAAACTGTCAAGATGAAGATATGCCTTAAGCATTTACGCTAGCAGCGTCTCTAACAGGATGAGTGGATTGGCTATTGCCAGAAGGGTAATCCATCTACTTCGTCTCAAGAAGGAGAATTAGCTTCTGGATTGGTCGCTCAAGAATGGACGGTTTGCCTGTTCGTCTCCCTTCTTTGTCCAGATGCTTAGTGCCAACCCTTACTCTGGCTCTCCTGACAAGGCCGTCATCATTTTCTATGGTTTCGATCACAATAGCCAATGGCCATTCCATTCGAGGGGCCTCTTCGTCTTTCAGCAGCACCACATCTCCCACCTTGATGTTTCGTCTTGGTGTGTGCCACTTTTGACGTGAAGTGAGAGAAGAGAGGTATTCCTTCCTCCATCTTCCCCAAAACTGTTCAGCCAGATACTGAACCCTCCTCCAGCGTTTCCTGATGTACAGGTCTTCCTTCACGAATTTTCCAGGAGGTGGTAAGGCTGCTGTAGACTTCATGGTGAGAAGGTGATTAGGTGTAAGTGGTTCAGGGCTGAGTGGATCGTGAAGATTAACTGTTGTGAGTGGACGACTGTTCACAATAGCCATGGCTTCGTAGAGAAATGTACGCAAGGTTGCAGCGTCAAGTCTACCTGGAGACTGCTGGATTATGGATGAGAGAACGCTTCTGACCGTCTTGATTTGACGCTCCCACACGCCACCAACATGACTTGAGTGTGGAGCGTTCATGACAAATTGACATTGCCGCTTTGCCAAGAAGCCTTGAACTCTCTCCATATCCAGTTCCTTCAATGCCTCTCGAAATTCGTTCTTAGCTCCGACAAAATTGGATCCCTGGTCAGAACGCAACTGCTGTACAGGACCTCTCAAGGCAATGAAGCATCGAAGTGAATTGATGAAGCAATCGGTGGTCATGTCGTCCACCATTTCAATGTGTACAGCACGTGAGGACATGCATGTGAATATGACTCCATACTTCTTGATCTCCTTCCTGCCTTCCCTGACGGTGAATGGTCCGAAGCAGTCCATGCCACAAAATGTAAACGGTGGGGAAGGCTCTACTCTATCCTTTGGAAGGTCGGCCATCTTCTGTTCTTCCACTGGGCGCCGCAGACGACGACAAGTTGCGCACTTGTGGATGTGAGTGGCAACTACCTTCACTCCTCCGATATCCAGTATCCACCAGCTCTTACTTCATTGAAGGTCATTCCTCTTCCCTGGTGTTGGATTTTGTTGTGGAAGTACGAGATGAGCAACCTCGTTACTTGCCCATCTTTTGGAAGAATGGCTGGATGTTTGACGCTGTCTGGAACTTCTGCATTTCTCAGACGTCCACCGACTCTTAGAATTCCGTCACTGTCCAGGAATGGATTCAGGCTGCAGATTTTACTAGTTGCCTTCACTCTGCTTGAGTTCCTCAATGACTGAATTTCCTGTGGAAGGCTTGCCTCTGTACTGATCGTACAATGTGCATTTCTGCCTCTGTTGTTCTTGCGGGTAGAGAGGCTGTTATCCTTTTCTTTCCGATTCAGTCGTCTTATGCGTGCCACAGCTCCCAATACCTTTGACCAATCTGAGAAGCGAGACAGGCGATCCTCCCAGTCAAATACCTCTGGTGTAACAGCACTTTGCAGGGACGTCACACTCTTTACTTCTGGATCACCGACGCTTAATTCACGGACTGGCTCTTCTGCAATCACCATCTCTTTGTTCCACAGAATTCTGGGCCTCTGAACCAGTTTGAGGCCACCAACTCTTTGGCAAGGACTCCTCTTGAGGCATGATCAGCAGGGTTCACTTCCGTCGGCACATAGTGCCACTGACTGGGCTCTGAGTACTGCCTGATTTTCTGGACCTGTTGGCCACAAATACATGGAACCGTCTGCCTCATTACATATATATCCAAGGACGACTTGAGAGTCTGTCCAGAAGTATTCCCTGTCGATGACTAGCTCTAATTCCTCCTTTAGCTGTGGCTTATCTGTACCGACACTACTGCGGCTGTCAACTCGAGGCGGGGAATGGTGACAACTTTGATCGGAGCAACTCTGGCCTTTCCTGACACCAGTGTGCAATGCACCTTATCTTCTCCGATGAATCGCAAATATGAACACTGGCCATATCCTCTTGTACTGGCGTCACAGAAAATGATGGAGCTCCACCGCGATGACCTTCCCAAAGTCACTTGGCTTGTAGCACCTGGGTATCTGGATTTGCTTCAGATTTACAAGGTCATCCTTCCACTTCTCCCACCGTGGGTGCAGCTTATCAGGAAGTGGATCATCCAATCCGATCCGCTGTGGCACATTTCTTGGAGAATTCCCTTGCCAATGAGTACAAATGGGCAAGGAACCCAAGAGGGTCATAGATGGAGGCAAACCGTGGACAGGATTCCCGACGTGTTAGTGACTGATCCTTAGCTTCGATGTGGAAGTTGAACATGTCTGCCTCTACACACCATTGAATGCCAAGAGCCCTCTCTGTGGGAGATCATCTCGGCTAAGATCCACATCTTTACTCCAGCGGCACGTTCATCCACTGGAATGGCCTCCATGACTTCTCTACTGGTTGAGATGAATTTATGTAGTCGTAGCCCTCCTCTGGCACATAACTCTGGGCCTCGGCCACTAATCTCTTTGCTTCGTCTTCCGTTTCAGTACTTTTGAGACCATCATCGACGTAGAAGTTCCTCTTGACAAAGGTTGCTGCTAGCGGGAACTCGTTCTCATGCTGACTGGCCAAATGTTTCAAGCCATAGTTGGCACATCCCGGCGAAGAAGCTGCACCAAATAGTGCACTTTCATGCGATACTCCGCTGGACCATTGCTTGGGTCGCCATTTTCCCACCATAGAAACCGCAAGTAGTCACGGTCTTCTTCGTTCACAAGGAATTGATGGAACATCCTCTCAATGTCACACATGACAGCTATGGGATGTTCTCTAAATCGAAGTAGAACCCCAGTCAAGTTGTTGATCAGGTCAGGTCCGGTGAGAAGATGACCATTCAGAGAAGTTCCGGCATGTCGCGCTGAACAGTCAAATACAACTCTGATCTTCCCAGGCTTCCGAGGGTGATACACGCCGTGATGTGGGATGTACCAAACCCTCCTTCCTCTCCGTGGCTCTCAACCTTCTCAGCATCACCTTTCTCTATTACATCTTCCATGAACTTTGTGTAGTCAGCATGGTACTTCTGGTTGGTGCTAAACTTCCTGTTTAGATGATTGAGACGAACTATAGCCGTCTTCTTGTTGTTTGGCAGCGTTGGCTTGCCATCTCTGAATGGAAGTGGCATGGTGTAGTGACCACTGCTGGTCTGGTTAATGTTTGTTCCATGATGTTAAGAACTGAATATCTTCTTGGGATACGGTTTTCTCTGCATGGCATTTCTCCGAAAAGTCGGCTTCTAATGCTCTGATTACATTTGAAGGAGGTATACATGGGGCCTCCGTCGCTGAAACTCGGTGGCAGACACTTGTGGCATAACTATTGGCGCTTGGATCATCATAACCGACGATGGTCCAACCAAGATCAGTCTTGACAGCATACGGTTCATCATCTTGTCCAACTATTGTGTCTCGTGGTGCCAAAGCTTGTGGACAATTGTAACCAATGAGCATTCCAACCTCGCAGTTCTGCAGGGGCGCCATCTCATGGGTTATTCTTCAAGGTGTGGCCATCTTCTTGCTGTGTCCGTCGTCGGGATGGTGGACTTGTTGACTGGGAGAACTCTCTCGTGTATGCCCGTGGAATTCGTATTCTGTTAGATGAATGCATACCTCTGACAATTAGGTTGGTGACTGCACTGCAATCAATCATGGAGGACGCCGAAGTCATCGTAGCAAGTTTAAGTCGAACTGACTCACAACGTGCCGCAATAGAACTGGCAGTGTTGTCTAAAATGAATGTGCAGTCACTCTGAGTGTCTAGTAGGGCATACGTCAAGACTTCCATTGAAGGAGAATCCACAGACGACACCCACACTGGGACTATCATTGAAGTCCCCCATCCACTTCCCATCTGGACGCCACATGACACAACTGCAACTTCTTTGGGTCTCTCCTTTTGGCGACTTCTCCACGTGGTTGGAGTCATCGCTCCGCATCAGTGCATCGTCATGCAGGATTGTAGGATGCCTTCTCTTGCACTTGTCGCAAGTCAGTTTTCGTCGGCATTCCTTGGACAGGTGACCTTTCTTAAGGCAGCCAAAGCACAATCTGTTTTCTTGGATGAATTTCTTCTTTCAGCAAGAGACTTAGTGCCAAAGCCAGGGCATTTATCGATGTGGTGATCTGTCTTCCTGCAATTCTGGCATGGTTTGGTTGGAACATGCTCTTGGTGATGTCTGGCCTTCTTGGGCATCTTGTTGATCTCATTTGATCCAACTGTTAGTGCTGATGCCCCTGCTTCGTTGCTCTTCTACTGCCGCCTCTGTGTCTGCTCTGTCTTGATTCGTCTGTTGCTTCAGTGCAGCAATGATGAGATTGGATTGCATGCTAACCGGGCCTCCTTGCGTACAAACTCGACCAAAAACTCTTCAAAACAGGGTAGTTGAGTGTTTCGTCAAGTTTCTTTGTAACTTGTCTATTCCATCGAGCTGCAGCCCAGTCTGGCAATTTGGAGAGCAGACGCCTGTTCTCCTCACAATCATCAAGTATCTTCAGAGCAGGGACATGGGGATGGCGTCCTTGCATGCTTTAAGAAAGTCTGCAAACTGCTGCAAACTGTGGCATCCTTGGGCTATCTTTTGCCACTTTGATAATTTATCACGAAGGCCTTCTGAACTTTGAAAGGATGTCCGTAACGTTCTCAAGTAGACGCCATGCACCTTCATAGCTCTCGTTGATGTGCTGTAGAAGAAACCCTTCCACAGCCTTCTGTGCATCTCCACCCAGGTATCGTTTAAGGTAATACATCTTTCTGGTGTGGAGATTGCCTTTGACTCGATAAGTGTCTTGAAGCTCGCCTTCACTCAACATAGCGGATGGGATCTCCCGTAAACACGC